AAAAGTGAGTTCAACATTAAATACCCCAAACAACCCCAAACAATTATAATACCAAACAGTCCCCCAACATTAACATGTAGTTGTGGCTAAATGACTCATTTCAGAAATACCAAGAAATTCTCACCAATGGTGCATCCCTCAGTATTAATTTATCGGTTCTTGTAGTACATCTACATCTAAAAGACAGTGGGGTCAAATGTATTTTAAGCAGAATTTACTAAATTTTAGAAATACAGTACATGTATTACCTACTATAAACCATCCCACCAAAGCATGAGGGGCACCTTGTAAAATGTAAAAATATTCATACAAAGCAGAATTCTTTTAAAAAACAAACAAACAAACATGAACCCACAACCTTCACCAAAAAATCCGCTATGAATACCTGTTGTATTCTTAGGTCAGGTCAGGTCAGCATTTGCTAACAAATTACCATGCATCAAACATGAGAGAATGTTAGGATTTTTGGAGCTTTCTGAATTTCAGAACTGCACATAGAAAACTGAAGATGTCATATAAGAGTATTTGCCAGTCAATTTCAAATACTTCTAAGGGTACAATTTATTCTTTAATATACATCACACACATGAAAACAACGAGTGTCTAAGAAGTAGTTTGATAATACTCCTAAGGTATATTCTCCCGATGTCATTGGTAAACAGGTAAGTTGTACGTTTCAGGTTAGTTTCAAAAACTGTAATATTTGGCTGGGCACAGTGGTTATAGCCTAAGCCACATACACCAAGGCTGGTGGGTTTGAAGCCAGCCCGGGACAGCTAAACAACAATGACAACTGCAACAACATCACAACAAAATTGCCAGGTGTGGCAGGTGCCTGTACTCCCAGCTACTTGGGAGACTGAAGCAAGAGAATTGCTTACGTCAAAAAGTTAGAGGTTGCTGTGAGCTGTGATGCCACTGTACTTTACCTAGGGCAACAAAGAGACTCTGTCTCAAAAAATAAAATGAAATAAAATAACTAATATTCCATAAAATAAACTTTAGATAAGTATACTATTTATTGCCCTCAAAGTAGCTAAAAAGCTTGTGATATATTGAAAGATGCATCAAAACAAGAATATACACTAATTTTAAGCTAAGAAAATTTCCTGTCAAAATATCTTTTAGAAAGACATTTATAAAAGTGGAATACTTATGGAGCAAAATAAGTATTGGACAGGTTCAAACCCAGCCTGGGCCTGTCAAATGACAATGACAACTACAACCATAAAATAACTGAGGATCACTAAGGTTAAAGAGCAAGGAATTGAGGAAACATGGATGAGGATTTTGGTACCATTTTTAGTAAAAATCAATCAGACCAACTTCAACAAGCTGGAGAACTGGGAAAGAAAAGAACTTAGATGAACAGAATTAATACAAAATCAGTAAACTGCTCCCAACCCTGTTCTCCGATCAAGAACTTTTTACCTTTGGGCAGCGCCTGTGGCTCAGTGAGTAGGGCGCCAGCCGCATATGCCAAGGGTGGTGGGTTCAAACCCAGCCCTGGCCAAACTGCAACAACAACAACAAAAATAGCCAGGCCTTGTGGTGGGTGACTGTAGTCCCAGCTACCTGGGAGGCTGAGGTAAGAGAATCACTTAAGTCCAAGAGTTGGAGGTTGCCATGAGCTGTGACATCATAGCACTCTACCGAGGGTGACAAACTAAGACTCTTGTCTCAAAAAAAAAACAAACTTTTTACCTTTAATGATTTGGCCCCTTTTTTGTCACCGGCGAACATGGATTTCTCATCAAAATGCATAGGGAAGGACCTGATAAAAAGGACAGTATTATGTTACAGATGAAAAATCCAAGTACTTTGTATAATAAATCTGACAGAATTTTCTTTTCCTACAAATATTTAAAATTCATTATTTACTCATGTAAGGTTTAGTGTGAAGTAGGAAGGTAAACAGTTTCACATATAAACTACTTATTAAATAAAGCAAGATACAGGTGGCTTTGTAACTCTTAAGACTAACGTTTTAAAGACACGATAAAAGAAATTTTAAAATGCTAGAGCAAGCAGAGAAAAAAAAGAATAGAACTTACTTGATAAAACAATTAAACAATTTAACTGAAAACCTATGTGAAAAGTAGGCAACACTCATTATTCTTTTAAAACTTAATACATAATTTACTTCAAACACTTCCTAATGTAACTTCCTCTATGCTATTTTAACAACCAGTAAAGTCAAGTTTATAAACCAAGCATTATTTTTAAAATGTTATTTTCTAGAAAGTAAAGCTAATGTTTCCTTACATATTCACTTAATGCTAACACACTTAAAACAGCATCTAAATTTAAATATTGGGCTCATCTCCTGTATCTTAGTAGCTAGGGTGCAAGCCACATACACTGAGGCTGGCAGGTTCCAACCCAGCCTGGGCTTGTCAAACGACAATGACAACTGCAACATAAAATAGCCGGGCGTTGTAGCAGGTACCTGTAGTGCCAACTACTCAGGAGGCTGAGGCAAGAGAATCACTTAAGACCAAGAGTTTGAGGTTGCTGTGAGCTGTGATGCCAACCACACTCTACCGAGGGCGATATAGTGAGACTCTGTCTCAAAAAAATAAAAAATAAATAAATAAAAATAAATTTAAATATTGTTAACTATAAGAATATAAAGCTGATAGAATGTTAAAGTAACAATGAATTTTTGTACTACAAAAAAGTTAGTGATATTTAAAAGTATAGTCTATTATCAAGTGTGAAAGTTTCTGCAACAAAGCTTTATAGATGCTTTTTAGTCAACATTTAAAGAAATATTAAATATTAAATACTTAAATATTTAATATTAAAATTAAATATTAAAATTAAATAAAATTAAATATTAAATACTTAAATTTTTTTTTATTTTTGAGACA